CTCAGCAACGAAGGATCAAGGCAAGGAGCAAATACCGCCATTGAACATGTCAATTGCAGATGCACCGAAGGTGGCAAGCCGGTGGCTGCCTGAAACCGAAGGAAACCAAATGTTAGTTCAGGATTCATTTCTCGAGCAACCTGGGCCTCAAACGCTCTAGTCACAATATGGGTGTGTCCTAATTGGGGTTTTCCGTGTCGCTTCCCTTTAAAGCAGCTCTAAGCAGGGTCAGTGGAACCATCACGAAAAGGAACACCCATGTACATCTTGGGGTCACAGCGACCGCACCGCATACAACGGCCTGACAAGAAAATGCCGCATGGTGGCTGAAACAGGCTAGCCTTCGCTAAAATGTTGGCCTGACTCCGTTGAAACACCAAAGCAAACACGCAAATACACGCACACAAACACAAAACGTGCAGACACGAAGACCAACACAAAAACGTATGAATATGCAAACGCACAAACACGCAAGGACACAAACACACAGACACAAAGCCAACGCAATTACGCGCAAAGAAAGCACACACACACATACACACACACATACAAACAAACAAACAAACAAACAAGCAAACAAACAAACCAACAAACAAACAAACACACACACAAACACACACACACACACACACACACACACACACACACACACACACACACACACACACACACACACGCGCGCGCGCGCGCGCACACGTAGGCACACACACACACGTGCACAATCACACACACACAGACACACAAACACGCAAACAGACAAACACACACACACACATACACACACACATACACACACGCACGAAGACAAACAAAACAAAAACAATTCAAAGAACATTGAGAGTCAAAGAACCCATGAGAGTCAAAGAACCCATGAACACGAGAGCATTAAAATTAACCAACACAAACAACATCAACACAAGAACACTCAAACGCGTAAATACAAACGACACACAACGAATATACCAACAGTCAGACGTACATAAACACACCCACACACAAACACATACGCACAGACAAACAACCACAACCAACCAACCAACCAACCAACTAGCAAACCAGCCAGCCAGCCAGCCGAGCAAGCAAGCAAGCGAGCGACCAAGCGAGCAAGCGAGCAAGCACAAACACGCAAACAGACCATCAGACCGTCAGCAACACACACACACAGACGATCAGACACACACACACTCATCATCACCCAAACAGTTATAACTCTATACCTATTATACAGGTATAAATGTGCATATACAAATGTACATATACTCATATGTCCATATCAAACACACACACACGCACAAACACACACACACATACATACATACATAGGTACATAGATACATAGATACCTACATAAATACATACATTGCTTTATATTACATACATGCATGCATGCATACATACATACATACATGCATGCATACGTACATACATGCGTACATACGATACATACATACATACATACATACATACATACATACATACGTACGTACATACATACGATACATACATACATACATACATACATACATACATACATACATACATACATACATACATACATACATACATACATACATACATACATACATACATAATAACATAACATAACATAACATAACATAACATAACATAACATAACATAACATAACATAACATAACATAACATACATACATACATACATACATACATACATACATACATACATACATACATACATACATACATTACATACATACATACATACATACATACATAACATACATTACATACATACATACATACATACATACATACATACATACATACATACATACATACATACATACATACATTACATACATACATACATACATACATACATACATACATACATACTTACATTACATACATACATACATACATACATACATACATACATACATACATACATTACATTACATTACATTACATTACATTACATACATACATACATACATACATTTACATACATTACATTACATTACATTACATTACATTACATTACATTACATTACATTACATTACATTACATTACATTACATTACATTACATACATACATACATACATTTACATACATACATACATACATACATACATACATACATACATACATACATTACATTACATTACATATACATACATTACATACATTACATACATACATACATTACATTACATACATACATACATACATACATACATACATACATACATACATACATACATACATACATACATACATTACTTACATACATACATACATACATACATACATACATACATACATACATACATACATACATACATACATACATACATACATACATACATACATACATACATAATTACATTACATTACATTACATTACATTACATTACATTACATTACATTACATTACATTACATACATACATACATACATACATACATACATACATACATACATACATACATACTTACATTACATTACATTACATACATAC